ATGATAATAGTAATAATAAGCATTCGAGACCTCGCATTTCGTTTTGTAGTGCGCTTGTTCGTTCAGCATGCATTTATAAGTGTGTAAATTAATGAATAAATAAATAACTGTGTTCCTAGGTAAGTACATCGATAACAAAAAGAAGTAAGTAATTAATAATTTTCGGGAGACAAAATGTACCGGCACAATATGTATGTTTGTATTTGTGTATGTCGTTAAGTTTTCATTTCATTGTGCTCGTATATCGTTCATTCAAAACGACAGGCAGTCAGTTCGATTTTGGTCAAAAACTAGTGTTCAAGTGAAATTTCTTTAGTTGAATGAGAGAATATTCGCTATTGGAATATATCATTTGCGATCGACCAGGTATGGTTTTTCAGATGTTCTGATATAATTAATCTTCACTTGTATTTTGAACTATTCATCTGTAAATTACTGCGTTTTAAAAAAAATTTTCTTGGCCGAGAATTTTTCGATGAGTGTACTTGCTGCTAACTGTTCTCAACCAGGTTATTCAAAAATTAGTTCAAATGAGAGTACAAGAAGTGAATTTTGAATGATATGAGAGCACCAAGATGATGAAACTTTGTCAGAAATTCTTCCATCAATTTTCAATCTCTGAATCGCGTTTTTACTCGGAAACTTCATTGCAATTAACTTGAACGAGTTTCTGGCCTGGGATCGTTGAAGAACTGCTTGAATCTCGCCGAAGATGTTATCTTTATAGCGTGTTATTAAAAGATATTATCTCTACATGCTATCTGTTATTAATCTATTAATATGCATAACCAATCGTATTCATAATGCCTCAGAATCAGTCAAACATTTTCTGTTCACTTTTAAAAGAACTTACTGTAATGGAAGCTACGAATTTCGAAACATCTCCATGTATGCCACCCATTAAGAAAAGGACTGTCTTGAATATCCTATGCGTTTTATGCACCTTCTGATCAAAAATGAGGGATGATTCCTGTCAACTGACCGATTTCGACTAATTAAGGAGTTTTTTTTCCATTCACTATGAAGTAGCCAGAGGACTGTCGTAATTTGTCCATCGAAATATGACAATTTCAAGCACCTTACTAAAATGGTTTATCGCGTCGTTATGCAAGAACCTGACATTGCCTTGATCACTTTGATCGCTCGAACCTTCAGCTATTACGAGCGACCCCAACAAGCTCCCCAGGTTTATCTATCTCTCGCTTTTGTTTTCCATAAACGACCCTTTCACTTGACGATGTTGTCTTTCCAGCTTTCGGGGATCGCCCAGTGACGTCGCAAGAGTTGCCTCCTTGTTGTATAACCGCCACGTCACTGGCTGGTGGAGCAGGCGAAAGATTATTGTTAAGTTAGAATTTTAGTTTTAAGTATAAATAGTAGTTAACAATATCGATAATGCAGGTAGAACGGCAAGTAGAAACCTGATGTGAATGAACAAAGTGATAAGCATTTCTGGATTCATTGTAAAGTGTTGACCTAGAAACTACTGACAGACCAGTGTTATCTGATAATTTGTTGACTGTCATTCTTGAGGATTTGTTTGTTCGTGTTCAATACTGCAATATGACATCAATGATTGCCTTCTCAGTTTACTTATTTATTATCCATTCGCTAGGAAGCATTCCACGAAACTTTTGATCGAGGTTCAAAATTTAATTGATTCTTAAGTTGAATGATAAAGAGTATTCGTTTGATTCGTCGAATAATTATTTGCCTTTTGCGTTTTTTAAGCTCTTTGATCTGAAACAGTCATTCTGATTTTCTTGTTGATTGAAATGAAACGATAGATTAAAAATGAGATGAAACAAATGTATTATTGGTTGATTTATCGAGTATCAATTCTGTAAATAAGTTTATTTTGTTATAATGAGTATTTCTAAAATAAAATCAACTGTACAAATATAAATCTCAATTTTATCGTATTTTCAATCAAATCACTTGGTGGTTTCGATCATGGATTAAGTAAAGAGAAAATGAACATAATAAACATGTTATGGATAGAATCATAATTGATGATCTATGTGGAGATTAAAAGATGGACAGTTTTGTGAGTAGGTGGTAGTTATAATGATGATGTGTGAGAAAGAATGATTTATTTGTGATTTTGAGGAGTTGATCGTTCTAATGCATTTCATCGTGGTGGAATGTAGAACGAATGCTATGAAGAAAATATTCGATCGATCGATTCTTAGTTGCTTAAGCTATTCATTCGTAATTTAATCATAATTAAAAGGTTATTCTATTTGCATTAAGTATCGTATTGATAACGATAATACAATATATATTAACAACATGAGCTGAAATCACCGATCGTGAAAAGAGTTTGTTGTTAGTTGTGTGCAGTGTTCATTGCGTTGTGCTCGTTTCAAAGAAAGAAGGCCATCGTTGAATTATTGGTTGATTGCGTTGTACACAAATATACACACATACGCTCTACACACCTATTCATCGATCTCTTTAATAAATCCGTTTCGCATCTCTTTTACGGTTATTATTATTACTATTATTATTACTTTTATTTCATCTACTGTTAACATCGATCATATTCGCTTATCATCAATCTTTTGAATATGAGATGTTCGTCCACATCTGTCGAGCTATAGCGTAATACTAGTGCAAGAGGTTGTGCAATTATTAGCAGTTCTATTCCTTCTTAATTTGATGCATTTTTTGTGGAAACAGATGCAATAAGTTTATAAAAATTTCGTTATGAGGACGAACATTCATAAGTTTATTATATGGATACATCATATCGAGTGCGATGAATGGCAACAATGATCGGAAATTCTTTCGTACACAAACGAGTTAATAGTGTGTTAATGTATGTGTTGCAGTACGTGTTATTCATGTAGACGTAACATTGCTCGTCGATTATATCATGCATTCAACGTCACGTTAGTAAGAAAATTCAGTAATCTTTCATCGAAATTCGTGTTCGTGAACGACCAGCAGAAATAGGCTTCAATTGTTAACATATGGCTTTTGTAGGTAGTTTAGAAAAAAACAAATCGCGGTGTTCTAGATATTTTAGGTGAATCGCAATCGCAACTGTTTGGAAACGATATGAATACTAAAAAGTTTTGATTTTTAGCAGTGCGATAACAAATTGGATATTATGCGAGTGCCACTTGATGTATGCAATTTTATAATTTTGAGGGGATATTTCAGTCTGGTTTACCAATAATGTTAACTCATCTTGAATGTTCAATATTGCTTGTTTTTGTAGGATAAAATGAAAAGAGCAACACATTTTGTGCATTTATATCTATCAGTCGTTTTTATTGTTATAGTTTCTATTTATTCAGCTGTCTCTCGACTCTGATCACTAATAAGCACCACTCGTTTCATTGCATTGCTCAATTCTCATCCATTCCATTACCGGTCACTAACATCTTACTAATCACTTTTTTGCAGCCATTGTTTCATTCCGGAATAATTCCATCACTAATTGGTGATGAGGATGAATTTGTGTTATGATGCGTTTTGTTTGATTGATGAGATGGATTCTCGTATAATTTGTCTGTTGAAATGATCGCTTTCCTTGAAAAAATTTTTTGTCATACTGAAAGTAAATATGCCACATCGGAGCCTACTTCTTCTGAAAAGTGGATTCAAATTCTGATGCAGTCCTCTGTGCAATTCGTTTTCCCTTTAAACAGAAAATTAATTTCCCGCAGCTCACGAATTTCTCATTATGGGAACGCATTCACGCGATCACATCATACATCGAAGAACCAACCATCTATGAGATTTATGTGCACTATTCATCCGTGTTTTCTTTATGTTCGTTCGATATTTTGCATGTCTTTTTTTGTGTGCGCCATCGGTGTGTTGAAGTGATCGTTAGTTTTGTGTTGGTTATAAGTACGTTAACTTCGTTCATTTATTCATAAATTTTATTAATTCGATATTTTTGTTGATTTGACATAAACGTATTTTCGTGCGATATTTTTTCAGTTATCCGAATTTTATTATGTGAATGAGGAAAATAATAATGATTTTCATTATCACTTTGAATATAATTTGTACAGATCATCCACACATTAGTGAATGCAGTGAATTTCGATCACTGCATTATTAGTCGACGACGTCATCAAATCGACGTGCTTCTTTTTCTTCTCGTTATCTGTTGATGTCAGAAGAGTTACTCTCTTAATCGGATCGAAGTACGAAGATTCTGATGAATCATTATCATTATGAGGGAAGATATTCGTCGTCAAATGAATTCTGCTTCTACAGCAGATATTCCAACGATGCAATTTAATGAGGAACCGTTTGAGGATCATTTCGAAATTGGTGAAGAATTGGGCAAGTGAGTTCATTAATCGCATTTTCCTTTTTATCCATTGTCAGGGTTATCATGAGTTTCTGATTTTCATTCATTTTTTATATCATAATATCAATTACCTTTAATTGGACGATTACGAGCAAAAATCTTCAGCGATTGTCTCAGGCTCAGTTTGGCAGTTTGTTGTCTCCTATTGGTATGAACGAAGTTAACAATTCGATCTCATGAACCATCCTTTTATTTCAAATTTATGCGTTCTTAAACATTTGTTTAATGAAATTGTACACAAATGGAACAGTTATCAGCTTTTAATTTGCAACGCTGCTCAAGAAGCACTTGAGTTTGAAAAGTATTTAGTTGAAACAACCACATGAAAACATGTTTAGCAATGCAACCTCACTGACATTATTTGCTTAATGCTGACATACTTAAGAGTAGCAATAACCACATCACTTCACGATAATCTTTGAAATTTTTGGAAGAAATGTGCATCATTTATAGATGATTTTATAGGTGATTTAGAATGCGAGTGGATGAAGCGAAATTTTAAAAATTGTAATCACCAGAGAATGATTGAATTAGTCGTTTTTGAAAACATTAAATATAGTAATTTTGCTGCTTGATCTGATTCGAAAATGGAGAACTGCCTTGGAGTATAATGCATCATCAGTGCGTTATTTTCTTTTTAAAACCTACGATTAAATTAAGTACATGAACTTATGTAAATGCATTCTTTAGCGTTATACGATTAAGTGGTTGACACTTGCCGAATTTCATTTAATTGATAATCGTCTAGCTTCATGGAAAGTTTATTGTCATGAGCGTAAGCCGAGTGCTTGTTCAGTCGATTCAAATTTATGCGTTCTTAAACATTTGTTTAATGAAATTGCAGTTTGATTGTATCGAATTATAAACAGAACAACTTGCTTGTTCATGATAAATGCATAGCTTTATAATTACTTACTTTGTTCTCATAAATAAATCTGTTGTTGTTCTGATTATTTATTGTTGTTCGCTAATTTGATTTGCCACATTTTACGGTACATCCAAATGTTGCAAATGAGATTTGAATTTCTAATCTGTTATGATAATTTTGCTGTATTTTCAACGAACAAAACAAAGTAATTGAATTTGACTGTAATCTGCAAATGTCTGATAAATTTGCAGTGGACAATTTGCATTAGTGCGTAAAGTAACAAAGCGATCAACCGGTGAACAATTTGCGGCTAAATTTATAAGGAAACGGCGATATGCGACATCAAGACGAGGTGTGACACGAGTGAATATTGAACGTGAAGTAGATGTTTTAAGAGCAGTGGGTGGACATGAGAATACTATTGAATTGTTCGATGTATATGAATCATCTAGTGAAGTTATACTCCTTCTTGAACTGTGCGTTTTGTGTATTTGATTGCTCCTTAAACTTTTTTTAAACCTTTTTTCGATGAAATGAATTTGAACAGTGGTTGCGTGATCTCAGAATTTTGTTTCTTTCTTCTTTAGAAGTATCCTGTGGGTCGGAGTGATCATGAAGTGTTGAAATTTTAGTAAATAATTCAATTGGCTGAAGAATGTAGCGTAGAACACGTGCGCTTATAATTTCAGAACGAATGATTGATTGTTGTTGTGGTTTTTGGAAACTTAGATAATTCAAATTTAAAAGTCCATTCAAGCGATATCTTTGAAATGCTTTTAGGTGACAATTCGAATCACAATTAATGTCACTTATTTTTGCTTCCTTATTTTCAACTAAATATCACGTTGAATGTATGAATATCTGGATATTTTCTTCTCGATTATGATCAGTTGAAAAAGGTTCACACTTTGTGATGATCAATTACCCATTTATAGTGTATCAGGTGGTGAATTATTCGATCATGTATGTGCAAAGGAATGTCTTGATGAAGCTGAGGCAGCCGCTTTTATTAAGCAAATATTGCTTGGTATTAGGCATTTACATCAACAGCACATTGTTCATCTGGACATAAAGGTAGAGGCAATTCTTTACATTGATGAAGGCGATTGAATTTTTAATAGTATATTTCATTAATATTAATGCATAATTTTGTTTGAAAGTTCGCTTGTTTTGAGCGTTTTGGTTCAGTCAGTGTTTTTCCAGCCCGAAAATGTGATGTTAAGGCGACGAGGTGAACCAAAAATCAAATTAATCGATTTTGGCCTCTCCAGACGAATTCTTCCAGGAACAATTGTTAAAGATATGATCGGTACACCAGAATTCGTTGGTGAGCGTAGTATTTGTCGTTTTGCTTAGCATTTCCACAGTTCTGTCCTATCAGTACCGTTTGAAGTGAATTGAATCAAGATCTATGTTTGTTTAAGCCGTATTAGAGTAATAACTATATCTGTATCAGTGATCGATACTTTGAAAAGTTCTTCGTTCCAGCTCCTGAAGTCGTTAATTACGAACCTCTCTCTTCGGCTACTGATATGTGGGCACTTGGTGTTGTAACGTTTATTTTGTGAGTTGTTCATTCATTTTCCTCTTTTAGTTCATCCTCTTGACATGAAATTTGTTTATAGTTCAGACGTCATTATCGAATTTTAATATTTGCTGTTCTTATGGCTGTTACTTATCAAATTCTCGACACCCATATATATTTATCTATATATTTATTCATTTATTAACAAGTAATTTTGCATTAATCTGATAATAACGACATTTTCAATTATTCATTATGCGAATCATCCGTCATCTATTCAGTCAGAGTTCTTCTAGAAGATAGTTTTATAAAATGATTGATATCGTAATGAAGTTTTCAGATTGAGTGGAGGATCTCCGTTTCTTGGTGAAACACGTGAAGAGACATTTGTGAATATATCAGCAGTGAATTACCACTTCAGTGAGCGATACTTTCAGCATACGTCAATGCAAGCGAAAGACTTTATTTCACGACTGTTCGTGCGAGACGCTCGCAAAAGAGCTACTGTTGATGAGTGTCTGAGGCACCCGTGGATTTGCGGTGTAAGTGTATCATTTTTTGATTAGTGGATTGTTGTTATCATCATTCTTTTTTTGTTCAGCCAGATGGAAATGCACTGGAGGATATTCGACATCAATCAACAATATCAATTGCCCAAATTCATGCATTCAAAATTCGCTTGAGATGGAGGGTTCGTTAAGTTATTATTACTACCTTTACCAATCTTATTGCAACCCACAACATTATTGACGCTGTTAGTCTTTGATGGAGGAGATTTTGCATTAAATGATGTTCTGTAGTGTACTCAAATTGATGCCCTGCGTGGAAGCACAAGATATCTGAAAGTTAATAAATGACACGAATGGGAATTTTGTTTTCAAATTCTTTTCACATTCCAAATTTAATGCAATCATTGAATGTGCATAAATACTTGCGTATATGAACGTATTGTGACAGACATTTGTGGTGACTTAGAGATGAATATGGATGTTGATTTTAATGTAATCGTTAGGGGTTATTTTACGTATGTATTGCATCCAGTGTATGGATCATAATAATATTGTTTTTGTTGATTAGGTATTGTTGAATTTAAGAAAGCGATGGACATCGTTATTGTGTGCAATCGAATTACAGCCAGTGTTCGTTTAGCTCTGAGAGAAGCGATCAAGACTGGAAGACCGATTGAGACACGTTTCGATCCAGTATGTTCTCTTTTTTTGTTCGTTTATTTCTTTGCAAGAGAGAAAACACACATTTGTTTATTTACTTGGTTTTATTTATTCATTTGTTTGCTAAATTACTATATTGTTTAATTCAATAATGCAGTTCTGCTGCGACATCATTTATTGTAGACTTTCACTCATTGCATCGGTTGCTTTTTGGAATTTGTACCTATACTCATCTCCTGATTTCATTAATCTACGCATAATCTGTAATTTGGAAGATTGTCAGTCACCAGTCTCTTTTTATTATCATTACTATCATCATTATTAGAGGTAATGATGACAGTATTAATGATAAAATAATACTAATTATTATTATTGTTATTATTATTACTGCTATTATAATGAGCATACATATGATATCATCTCTATGATATCATTTTTCTGTCATTAATCATTTTTTTCCTCATTCAAATCATTCATTAAATTCACAATCGTAAATTTAACACAAACCAATTTTGTACAATGCTCGATTTTTTCAGATATCACCAGTGATCATTTCATCATCACTGAGTATTCTCTGAAATTTGTTGAAAGTATCTTTTATATTGAGATATCGAAATGAATAAATGACATTTTCAATCTTATCGTGTGACTCATTTTCAATTGATTCTCTAACTGATTTGCTCATTCGTCATCTCTGCGACACATTTATCGCTGGGGTTTTTTGGTTGCTGGATATATTAAATTTTCTGAATTTCATGTTGTTTTTCGATTAGTTGAATCAGATGTTTGATTGGGATTTTTTTATATTCAGTTGTCATTCATTCAGCCATAATTTCATCGTAAGATTCGTTGTCTTATTTTCCCCTCAAATTCTAATCCCAAATTCGCTTGAATTAGCTCATCTTCATTTGTCCACTTCATCATTTTGATCATGTCAGTATTTGTCAATATGTATTGTCATCTTTAGTTCTATTGCTTTCTTGAAGAGTTGAGATAACTATGATGGTTCAAGGTCGAATTGTTTGTTGATAACTGCTGTCATTTATTAGATGTGCCTACAGCAGAAAAATATATTTTTAATTAATTTTTGTTATTTTTCAAATGATTATTATGTTATACTCAAGACTTTTATTTCTGATCCCATAATGCTTGCTCACTTTTTTAATGAGAGCGTTATAAGTGAGTAAAAACATGAAAACGTATTAATTTTTGTGATAATGAGCGAGGTTGCAATGTTTTAGGATTAGAGCTTTATTTTTTATATTTCTAAGCAATGCTGGCGATCAAGTTCACTTTTGGCTCGAATATTTTTGTTTTCTTTCTCGCTGTTTTCTAATGGCTTCTATCGGATCAGAGAATTTCGAATGTATTGTAAAAAAAACTGAATTCTTGAATGTTCAAAATAAGTTTAGTTATATTTTGTCTGAACTCAAATTTCATTTAATCTGAACTCAAATTTCATTTAATCATCACAAATGTTCGTGAATGTGCTAAATTCATATGCTTACTTACCATTGAGAATCTATAGCGGTGAGGAACTGACGCATATCATTTATAGTTGAACGGCTTATTTGATAGTGTAATCGAATTTGATAATAACTGATCAGAGAACGTAACGTGACAAGTTCAAATCGTTTCAGATCAATATGATTCTCTAGAAATTAGTAATATTAAGATATTCATTCGTCGCATTCCGTCAACTGGTTCGATTCTCATTCAGCACGTTTTATTAATGACGGCATAAGAACCAGTTGACTGCATATTTGATAGTAGCAATACGATTTGATTGTTAAGCGTCTCTAACAGTTGTATAGTGAAATAAATGAAACAGTTAATAGTAAGGCAATCTAATGAATTTAAGGTATTGAGGATGGAGAATTTAAGTAACATTGGGATATCTAAACTTGCTTTTGTTGTTATGTTCATTTTTTTCATGAGATAGCCACAATAAACTCAGTTTGTTTATTTGCAATGTCGTAAGAATGTTGATTCTGTTGCTGTAGAATATGCTCGAGTGTTCGCGCAAAATGCGATATGGCGGTTGTTTATGTAATGAAATGCTTTCGAGTATTTTTCAATATGTTTCAAATATTTTGCAATTTAAGGAGATGATTTGCTTTATAGTGGCTTGTATTCATTTTGGAAAAATACAACCAGTGTACGCTCGAAATTAACGAATATCATTAATCATTGTCATCAGTATTGCTTATCCAGATTTATCGACTTAACCTTCTCGACCGCAACTTCTTTGTCAACGAATCGCTGAGTATTGCCGTTAGCAAATAACGGTATCTGCCTCTGATATGATAGAATGTTTGTGACAGCTAGTTTTGCTAGTAGTATCAATTCATCACGGTGCAGATACGTGATCATGCTGGTTACTGATCGATCACTGAATCAACTCTGGTGCACATAAGTCAGTGTATGTATAGTGAAACGAAGAATTCCTTAGATAATGACGAGTAAAATTGTAGCGGTGATTATTGCTGGAATGGAATGTATGAAAACAAACAGCTTTATTCGAACTCTTTCATAGCAATTGTTCTATCTGTGCTTGGTCGCTATTTTAATTATTATCAGCGCAATTATGTATCGTCAGTACCGTACATGCTAATTGGTCTAGTAAATTGTTATT